GGACGTCAGTTTGATATTATTACGTAATAAAAAAATTTAAGTAATGAAGTAATATTTACGCTAACTGTACTTCGAGGATTAAAAGAAAAAAAGACGAATAATCTTTTTTAGGGATAAAGAATGGAGCAAAATCTGGTATTTTCGAGAAACCACTTTCACTGCCCCAAAATATTACACCATCTTCCCGAGGGGAACCATGGGGTGATGCGGAGCATCGTTCCATCACACTTCATCGGAAGAACGGAGTGAAGTCGAGTCAACAGCGGTGAACTGAACGCGCGCAGAAGTTGGTTTGGTCTTTATGCCTTGATGGAGATGCGCCTCAACGGGTAATCGGTCTCTTAGCTGTAGATGAGAAATTTAGCCAGTGCAGTAAAACCACTAACTTGGGATTTTTACCGTGCATCACGCAGTAGTCATCACACGAACGCGTGCCGGTACGAAACTCATCGAGATCGAAACGGGCGGGGGCGGCGGGGACTCGAACCCAGGAGGTTCCCAGCGGAAGCTTTCGCTCCACGCTCCGAGCTGAGACGCGTTAGCCCACTCGGCCACTTTCTCACCTTGAACGAGCGCAGCGCGCTACCGCTGCTTATATTCACACTTGTAGGAGAGGAGACTAGAGGGGGAGAGTTGCGCATGCGCGCGCGGTGTGAGTAGAAGCGAACGCACGCGAAGTGCACGCAGCTGGTAGAGAGAGGGAGCGGAGAGAGTAACGCGCAGCTGTTGGAGAGAGGGAAGGAGGAGAGTTGCGCATGCGTAGTGTGAGTGCGGACTACGACGCCGCGGGACATAGACCCAAGCAAGAGATGCTCCGCATCTAAAACTCCACTAGTAAATTAGAACTAACTTTTACATGACATGTTTTAGGTGGTTCTGTATGACTGGTTTGCCTGAAATGTTACGGTCGTTCGAAAAGTTATTAGCTCCACTTCGATTGTGACCCCACCTCGTTTCAGAGGCTCTATCATAGGAAAGCTTCAGAACCCTGCAGGAGAGGCATATAAATTAAGCATTGAATAGACATAATTCATAACAACCTATTGACAGCGTCGTTTAGAAGGTGAGCCGAGAAATAGGACCAAACACTTTAGGCGTGGCGCGGTAACCTCCTCGCATAACTTTATGCCTGTTAATGGCTTGGGGTAACCGATCTTTTAATTTAAACGATGAACAAACAATCGATCGCAGTCTTACTCGAAATTATTTCGCAGAAAATGATCGTCAACCAGAGTCAGATACAAGTTAAAATACACCAGAGGCTCCTTCTTCCCCCTTATTACCGCCACTCACTGTCCCTCTTAATAGGGACTTTTCGTAGATCGTTTTCGCCGTCCCGCAAGGCCCTCCGCAACCCGCTACGATAGCGGGAACTCCACAGTCAAGGCTATCGGCGCGCAGGCGCAGTAGCGACTTCTTCGTTGCGGGAGGGCTTAGCGGAGGGGGAACGCGGTCTACGAAAACTCCCTAATGCGACAGTACTCAGCTACCGAGGCGCTCGTTGGCGCCACTATATAGCCTCCCCTATACTCACAAAGCCAGGCAGTTGGACGACGGAGCCATAAGAGAGTTTTCGTAGATCGTTTTCGCCGTCCCGCGAGGCTCTCCGCAACCCGCTACGATACCCGGAACTCTACAGTCAAGGCCGTCGGCGCGCAGGCGCAGTAACGGCTTCTTCGTTGCGGAGGGCTTAGCAGACGGGAAAACGCGGTCGCAGATTTGGAGCTAGAGGATCATGTAGCACAAGGCAATTCTCGGGGAACCTAGAGTTCCTGTATAGGCACCCTACGGGAGCCAGAGTTGCGCGTTCATGCATGGCATGTGGATACAGCTCCTCACGTGACTGAATTCGGCGAATAGCAGCGCCGCGCGTTCGAGGCGTGCGGCGCGCTCAAAAGCCGGGGAACGTACGCCGGGGCGCGTGCAACGTCTGCTTTGTTGCACAACGCTTGATACGGCTCCTCACGTGATCGGATCTCGGCGAATAGCGGCGAGGGCGGCACGCGGCACGTGGAATCAAACGCGCAACTCTGGCTCCCGTAGGGAGCCTATAAAGGAACTCTAGGGGAACCCACGGCTGTGGGGGAACCCTCTGGGGGAACCTGGTCTTCAGCGCACAGCTTTTGCAGTGGCGTGGACCCGAAACATGATTTTCAAACCCGACGAGAAAAGAAGCGGTAGCTCGAGGAACGCGAGGAGCACAAGCGGACATTCCATTGCTCCGGAGAAGTGTGTTTAGGCGTCTCGCAGCAGCAGGGCCGCCCGTTACGTGCCTCTCCTCTCATCCGCCTGTCTGCCGCTCTACAGTTTCAATTTCGGCGGCCGCATCTCCTGGCGATCTGCCAGAGTTTGTCAGTATGGAGGAAACTATATATATGGCGTCTCGTAACTGATGGCCGCTGCCTTTCCTGGTTGGTCAGCACAGCTGTATATGGTGCTTGGAAAGCGTCTCTAACTAACGTGTTTACCGCGCGCAAAAAAAAAAAAAAAAAAATAGACTTTCCGATTTTTGCTTGATGACGTTATAGAAGTGGCATGCTGTCGCCGGTCGCGATCCTGGCGGTGTCCCAGCAGCGGTGGTGGATGTGGCAGACGCCCTTTCCGCCTCAGGCCGCTCTCTAGTGTGACAGTTCGAGTAGAGACGCCGCGAGGAGAGCGACACTCGCGTTCGCTCATACTTTTCGTTAGCCTTGCTACACCCAACCACTGCAGGATTGCGGCATCCGACAGCATGATAATCCGGTTTCTGCGACGTCATTTGTTGCCACTTCGGGGCACTTTTTGATATATGGGCGGGATAGGACGCTATACGCACCAGTCAGAAACGCGCTCCAGGCATCATATAGCACAACGTTGGGATGCCGTGGTTGGAAAACGTGGTGGTGTTTGTTTGGCGCATTCCTATCGGGCACTTCAATAACTACCCTCTGCACGCTGCCTCTATTGGGCTCTCGAACTCGTTCCGAGCATGCACGCAAGCTCTCTTGTGCGGAACATCGGATGCCGCTCCTACGTCCACTGCCCCGCAGCGAATCGGGATTTGTTTTTCATTCAAGACGCTTCGGTCATGGATGGACGATAATAATGTCTGTACCCTTCATAACGGGCAGTACCTTGCGCCACCTAGCCATATTGATGCTTACAATCATTGTGGCCGGAGTGCGAGTTATCTAAGCTCGATCTGAAATATCCGGAAACACTTTCTGTTCTAGTGAAATGATAAAGCAGTTTGCGAGAGAGATAACGAATGTTGCCTGAGCTTCGTGACGCCGTATCTATCAAGCTCAGAAAGCCGCATTTTTAAATCGTGACTATGGTCCATCGCCCGCTCTGCACTGAGCTTCAAAACTGTGGCGACCACAAGACAGTCGGGGAAGGAAGTGCCGATACTCTAAGCCTAGCTTATTTCGTGGGCCTAGTTGGTACCACTGTGACCACTAGAAACTTCTTTACTCCACATAGTCGAACAGGTTAAAGGGAAATTGAAGCGGTTCTATATTTCAGTAAAAACACTAAAATCATCTTCATTTGGCCTCCAGGATCACGAATTTCGAGAATATCGAAGTACCGCTGAAGTCTCTCTTTTCCGGAACGTTACGACATAAAAGAAGTTATCAGAATTTCCGCTCTCGCGCATCTTCAGCGCCGATCAAAGCTATGCACCCGCACTCTTGCTATTAAAAAAAAGAAAAAAAAAAAAAGAAAAGACTTCACGACATGTCAGTGCAGGGCAGTGCTGCCGACCTTAGGGATGTTCCCCTAGATTTAGGGATTTCGGTCATCGTCTAGGTGCAAAGGGAAATTTGTTGAAATCTAGGAATTGATTTTTAATGGGTTTCAGAGGGATTTAGAAACACGTTGCTTCCCTTTTTCCCTCTTCGTCCCGGCCGAGTGCAGCGGGGCAGAGATAATTTCCAGTGCTAACAACATCGATTTTGGGGGGCCACAGTAACAAAGCTTAATTATGTAAAAAGGTTTTAACGAAGCAAATTTAACCTTTAAATGGCCATTTAACTACAGGAATCTATTCTTAAAGGCCCGTTCACACACTTGCAACCGAGTACGACCGAGTGAGACAAGACCGGTTTTTAAGGCTCTCGCGATGCGCTGCTGCGGAGCTGTTCCTAAGACGTCGCAAGGAGCTTAGAAACCGGTCTTGTCTCTTTCCGTCCTACTCGGTTGCAAGTGTCTGAACTGCGCTCAGCTACTCCCTAACGATAATCTCTATATTGACGCAAATGAGCACGATTTCTGAAGATCTAGGAAAATCAAGGGAATTTCTCGATAAAATTTGGGGAAGAAACGATTGCGGAGGTTGGCAACACTAGTGCGGGGGAGTATACCTGGCACGCTTGCAAATGCACGCGCTGCCCACACCAGCGACACGCGCTTGGCGGCCGAAAGATTCTTTTATGACGTAACGACTGTTCGGAGGTTTTTCCTGTTCTCTCGCGTTTAGTTACAACTTCGGGAAAAACAAAAGTGATACTCAGAATCACGGGATACAGATACTCTAGAATTCACCTCTAACTCCTGTTTTTGTTTCAAGGACCTCTTCAGCTTCCCTTTAAGAACCCAGGACTATGCGGAGAGCAAGTCGTCTGCTTCTTGTGCAGGAGTTGCGGTGACGTCACAACTCACAACGACGCCGAGCCCTGATTGGCTTTGATTGAAAGGATAGTGGTAGACCTCAGTGAATGTTTTGAGGTATGCCCACTATTTTCTTCAATCAGCCAATAAGAGCTTGGCGTTCTGACATGATCGCAACCCCTGTGCAAGAAACAGACGAACTTGCGCTCCGTATATCTCCAGCACGCGCTCGTTGCCCTTCGCCGTGATTTGGCTGCGCCCGCGGCGAAGTGTTATCAAAGGCAGTAAGCTCGCGCTCGGGGCAGAGCATCACACCGCATCCTTAACCGGTCATCGACCATAGTGCTTTCAAAGCACTAAACGTCTTCTTCCTCGCAGCGCTTGAGCAGTCGAGGAAGGAGGTCTCTCACCTGGCAGGCGTCGTTGCCGCTCTCTCCCCCCGCGCAGTAGGTGCTCGCAGGCAGCAGGAACTGCTTCTCGGTGACCGCGTTGATCTTGGTCGTGCACTCACGGTCCTCCACCACCGGCACTTGGGCCTCGCGCACGCGGAGGGCGATGGGACCCCCTGGACGCCACCATGGGGAAGAGAAAAACGTTCTGGTGGCAGCTTCATAGTGATCCCGCAGAGTAGAACCATCACGGTTCGTGAGAAGTCGACCGAACGAGGAACTATGCCGGAACCATTCCTATAATAACCATTTGCGTCCTGGGCCGCCTTCTGAGCAAGCAGAGTAGCTGTATTTTGCGAAATTATGTAACGCATGCATCCACACCCCAGTGGCTAAGCAAGGTCACGTTGCACTCTATGCTCTCGACCTGATATAAGCTACTAGGACAAACTACCGCATGACGGTGCACTTCGTGACGCCGCTTGATTGCAGTTTTGAGGAGTTGCCACTCCGAAGCTGGAACGATTCCGGAATCATTCCGCACTTCCGCGACCCCGGAGTGGAGTGGGAATGGAATTAGATTCCTATCACCCTCAATGGAGCTGGGATGTTCCGTTCATTTGTGAGATGTGTCTATCTTCGGCTGGGGGGCCTGCGGTCTGTACGCGCACGGTCAAAGTGGCCCTTGAAACAGCATCATTCCCCTTAAGGTGACTCAGGGATGGGCAGTATTTCAAATACAAGTATTTGAAATACCACCCATTCCTGAGTCACCTACTGCCTACCATAAAAACAACTACACCTACCATAGAACAATAATTGCCAAAGTTACAATTATTGTTTTTATGCATCTGGTTGTAAGATATAGTCTCCATCCTTTATTCGGCCATGGGGCTTTTTGTCTTTTTCTCCTCCGGCTTTATTTTAAAAACACTGTCCAGAGCAGGAAGAAAACAACGTTTTGCACCGAATGCAGTACGTGTCTCTCAATCAAGCACAAGCGTTTAGTGACTTTGTGATTACGGTGCTAGTCCAGGGCAAGAATAGTGACGAAATCGACGTTCACATGCAGACTGGCTAAATAAGTGCCTGTGACAACTTGTGATGCTTTCCAGCCTGATTTTCATCCATAGTTTTGCCTGGAACATTCTAAACGCGCCGGTCGTCCAGATTTTCGTAGCTGGTGCGAGTTGCAACAATCAAAAAATTCTCTAGCTAGTGATGCGCGTCTTGGTCGTCTCGGTTCTTTCTTGGTCTTTACTAAAATGTAATCGACAAAAAAAGCTGCTTACCGCTCTGTACTCTTTTCACCTACTGCGTCCAAGCTGATTACATTTTTTTGTGATTATATTTCTATTACGTTACTAGAGCCTCGCACACTAACTCCCGAGTGTGCAATGCAAAATTAAAATGAGATACCCAGAAACCCGTTGCAGGTGCCCTGAAGTCGCTGACTCAAATTTTGAGGAATGTATTTGGAAAAGTATTTGGAGGAGACCAAATATATTTGGTTGTATTTATATCTTGTACTTAAATGCTTTCTTGCAAATGTAATTAGATTTGTAATTAAATACATTTTGACGAAGTATTTTCTATTTGTATTTCGATACATATTTGCATGTATTTTGCCCATCCCTGACTGGTGACTGATAACTTCATTGTCTGGACGACTTATGCTCCCTCGAGGGAGAAAGTGGCTCCCTCAATGGAGCAACCGAAACTGAATAGTTGTGAACGGATACGATGTCGTTCTTGGCGCCGCGAGACGCGACGAAGCGACTGTTGAGGCCATACGCGATCACACCTCCGGTCAAAGGCCACCGGGCAGGGACGAAGCCATGCCACCCGCCTATCTCGGATGCAGGCCTTCTCACTCCAGAGGGCGCGCGCGGAGCCACAAGCGTGCACTAGTTTACGTTTCAGTGATACACATCGACATCTCCAGTGCCACCGACTGCTTTGTGCGACCACTGCTCGGATAGATAGAATCGGTGCTTCAGCGACGCGTTTTGCATATTTGGAATTTGCCAAGGTCTTTGATAAACGTCAGCTTTATGCTGCTTTTGGTGACAACACGATGTGGCTGTCAATAGACATTTTTCACGTTTATAAATTAGAGGAATGGAATTGAACGTTTCAGCCATTCAAGGAGTGGGAATAGGCCCAGGGCCCTCATTCCTGGGAATTTAAAAGAATGATATGTTCCAAAAAACACTAATTGCCCGAAATGAAGTTTAAATGAAATGGGGGGTGCTCATTCTGTAACACTGCTTGCTTGGCCCATCGGAACGACCGCAGCAGTGAGCCACCCGTGCAACCATACGCCGTAACAAAACCTCGCAACCACTGCCGTCAAAACTACAGGCAATCACAAGTCAATAATACAGTCGTAAGTGACTGGCTTATTATTTTCGTGCTTCATTATTTGTTTTCTTGCGATCTTCTTGGAAGGTCGCCATCTCAGTGGCTGCGGTGCGCTAATAAAATGCACGGGACTTTTCAAAACCATTCCCCTAATGGCTCTCTGGGTGCCGCCATTTTGTTCTACAGCAGTGCCATCTACATATATACGGGCGTTTCGACGGGATCGCCGAGGTAAAAGGGAAAGGGCGCACGCCCGATCCCAAATAGCACACGACAAACCGCGGCCGTCCTTAGCAGGCGTTTTATCCGCTCCGGTGGAGCAGATGATGAAAAGGGCACGCGCCGTTCTCATCGTTTGGGAAGTTCCGGTGGACTGTACGTTGGTTGCACCGCCGGAACTGCCCTAACATAGAGTCTCATTTCCCTACTTTCTGGGTGTGGTGGTATAAAGTAGAAATCGAAACCAAAAATAAAATGTGGTGCTGACGGTGCAACGCTACTCAAAGACCTTTCAACGTGCGACCAGACGCCGCGCACAGTGGGTGTGCCCGCCTAGGCTCCGTATATCCGCACCTTCGGCCGCCGAATCCTTGCGGAGCCGTCGCACAGGTGACAGTCGGGTGGGTCGGGTTCTGAGCAAGACAGCTCCCGATTGTCCAGGAAGTTGTCTTGCTCAGTACTCGCGACCTGCCCGACTGTCACCTGTGCAACGGTTCCGCAAGGATCCGGCGGCAGAAGGTCCGGATGTACGGAGCCTGGGCGGGTGCACGCCCTCTGTGGCGTCTGGTTGCGCGTTGAAAAGTCTTTCCGAGTTGCGTCGTCATATTTACACGCGACAGCGTCACCAACCCAGTATTGGGCCTCGAAGCGATGGCCCACGTCCGTGAACCGGAAATCGCTCGTAATTGTTTAATGAATAACACCCATAAAACTCGCCTCTAAGGGGCAAATAATTAATTATTTATATTAAGGTGCAACCCCACCGTGCATGACGTTTTCATGCTTTTTTGATGGCTTATTACTTTCTTTCTATGTATCTTACGTTTATAAAATGAATGTCAAATTAAAGAGCTGTTTTTCAACGATACTTTAATGTCTCGATATTACGATTATTTTTAGTGGTTAGTTAATTATTTAGCTTTTAATAGACCACAGTCTCTAATATTGAAAAATTTATTTCTCAAGTTCTAACGTCCCATTGTCCACGATATTTTACGTGAGCGTTTGGTTGGATGTAATAAATTAAAAAAGTAAGCAACAAACTGTACAGATGATGTATATTTTAAAATAAAAAAATAAAGTTTAAAATTGTATTTTTTTTATGGCGCTGTAAAAACGGAATCACGTCAACTAATCGAAATAACGAGACATTAAATTATGAAGCATCCTTCGATATTACAATTTCCAGAACTTCCATATTGATATATTACACGTTAATAATGTTATAAGACCTGAAACTTTTCCCATTCAGTTACGGCAAATTGTAGTTTCTTATTATAATATACAGATGGAGACACGTGTTCAAGAAGAGCTTGATGTGCATTTTTCGTCGTGTGCCGCTTGGAACGCCACGGGAAAGACAGAAAAAGCACCAGATGTAAGGGTGTCAGATTCCTGGATGCTCGCAGTGAGCGAGCCAGTGATGTCAGAACAACAAGCGCGAGACTGCGGGTGCACCACGGCTTCTTTTCGCGCGTTCTACTGTGCGTCGGTTCACATGCCCGTCGCGATCCAAATGAAATGGGCGCCATGAAATGCATTCTGCCATTTCAGATTCCGCCACGTATGCGAAAACATTTTAATGATTTTATCACTTGCAAAAATCATTTTCGCAATCAAACTATGCTTGTCGGAATGATTCGACTATATTTTGTTTCAAAAACCACCTCGGTGGCTCTTAAGTAGCAATGATATTAAAACAAAACACAAAACATTAAATCGTCTCGGTGTCTTTGAGCTAACGCGCTGGCCCATGAATCTATATTTTTTCGGATTTAAATATCGGCCGAGGTGCCCACAATCCGAAGGGGGCCAATCTGAGATTTCGGTTGCACGTCAAAAGATCTCCAGTTAATGAAAATAAACCCGCATTTTTTTTTTTATTAGGGCGTGTTAAGCAATTTTTATTGGTTTAGCTTGTGAGATACTTAGTTCAGAGCGCAGCAAACGCTGCGGGCTGATGAAGCCACTGAAGCATCGCAAAGAGCGCGAGGTTAAGCTGTTCGTTCTCTTTCTTTGCCTATACGGTCGGGATAAACTAGAACCACTATATAAGCTACGCTTCATACACATCTTGGTGCTTAAAATGATGGTTGTCAGTTATCTGAAACTTTATCGGAAACCACAGGAAACGCTTTTCCGTCCTCCACAAATGTTTAAACAGTTCGAGAAAAAGCAAAGCAATACTACGTGAGCTACCTGACACCGAATGCTGAGGAAGTCGCACTTTTGAATCATGGCGATCAGCCGTTGCGTTTGATTTGTTACTAACGAACAAGATGGCAGCGCCCACAACAATATCGGGAGGACAAGTGCCGATACTCTAAGCGTAGCTCATTTGGTGTACCTCACAGGCTAAACCTAAAGCCCCTCCATCCTGGGAAAAGTGGCGCCATTCATTGTTGTGGAAATGCTCGAGGCACGTGCCGCGCGCCACTTCTGGGAAATTCATGGCGTCTGAGATCTAGCTCAGTGCTGCGCTGTGCCGCCGTGATCTTCCCAATAGCTGCACATTGCACGTGCCTCGTGCATCGACGAAGCTTGCGCTACTTTTGAAACATGAAGGGGCTTTAGCTAAACCAAGTGCGGTGGGGGATCGTTGACCGAGCGTGTTGTGGCACCGCAGACCAGAGCACGTGGAGAAATGCTCGAGCGCGAGCTCCTTTCAGGGCACGGAGCTCACGCTGCAAAACCTGTAGGGAATAAATCCCCTCCGTTCGCGCTGGTCTTTCATGTAACCTCAGACGTGCCAGTGCACGAGGCCCGTCTCTCGAGCCGCCCTTGGAGGCAAATGGCGGCGCAGCACTAAAATGACTGGCCCTTGAGAAAGAATGGCGGTGGAGCACCCACTCGTGGCACGTGTCTTGCGCGTGTCCACAACAATGGTTGGCCGTACTTGTAAAAAACGCTTTTACCAAGGGGCTTTGGCAGGAACCCTGGGTTCAGTCGCCCATCTGCATCCTATTGTCGTGCGATCGTGTACCACATATACTGCGTAATACACGTTAAAGACACCGAGCTGACAGTTGTACAGCACTTTTTATAATCTTCAACGGGTAACACTAGGGAATTGTAGTAGACCGTTTTTCTCCTCCGCTACGGTATCCCCGAAGAAAACGCCGCAGCTGCGCATGCGCGCCGCCAGCCTTATCTGCATAGTTCAAGGTCTTATGGCGGATTACGGAGCGCTATCCGGGTGCTTAGCGGGCTGCGGAAACCGTCTACTACAATTCCCTATTGTCGCCCTACGAAACTCCTGCTCTTTAAAAAACTAACGACTAATTCTGAATGCCCCGTTACATTGCACTTTAATGCGTGTTCGCGTTCTTTTTTTTCTACATCTTTGATTATGCGGTTCTTACTTATGAAACAGACTATAGTTGTCGGACTACTGGAAAATATTATATAACCAGGAAAATGGCAAGTGAACGCAAGAGACAAAAAAAAAAAATAACAACGACAACAACAAAAACCTACACATAGGCGCACTTAATAAAAATAATTGAAATAATAGAATTGATTATAATTGTCTTTTCAAAGGTTTGAGCGCACCAAAAAGGCTATAAAACCACGTAGATGCATTGGATGGTGCGCTTGTTCACTGGAAGTGTAGTTCAGGGCAGTATGCTCGCACTTATGTGTTCCGCTTCGCTCGCAGGATAAATCCAAATACTCTACTGGTAATGTATTTAGTGAAACAAAGCTACCTTCTGCATATGCGTGCAAGGCCCTTAGTTTTCGCGTGATTACACGGACGCTTGTTTATCATTATTGTTTTCGTTTCCCACTACGATTCATTTCGTGCTTTTTTGTGTGCTACATGCATTAGATACCAAGGTAACCCAGAAGCATTCTATTTCGCAAATTGCAATAAAAAAAAAATATGCAACTGGACACGGGTGCCACAATCAATACAATATATTTTATAAGCTTCACATGTGACCGCTGGCCTGAGTAAACACTGTTGTTTGTCAAAAACAATTGCGATTGTATAAAATCACGTGGGAAAAACTCGTTCTAAGCACACGACCGTTAGCATGCAGTGAATACTCATAATCGGCGCCGAGATGATTGGTAGCTGTCAGCGGGTGGAGTCTTTCTATCAACACAGAGTTAGAATGTTTCCTTCTTTCTGTTGTAAGCAAACAGGAGACAACTTACACCAAATCTCAGGGTAATAAAGTACTATGAACATTCAAACATTACTGCCTGAGCAGTATATGCGTGCAAACTTTAGCTTTTGATGCACGCTTAACTTTTGATACGCTCAACGCTAGCGTAAAATGTAGCGCTGTTTCAGTCTTAATCAGCGTACGATGTGCGTGCTTACACCGCATTTTATGCAACGTCATACTCTACCCGTTTGCATCTTTTTTATTTATGCACACCACTACCTGCGCGCATAAATCACCAAATGAAGACTGGTACAGGATGTCACAAAAAAAATTAGTTTTTTTTTTACCGCAAAAATTAGCTATGCATCGCCTCACGCTCATTCTCCGCCCAAAGACACACTAGGTCACAACCAGATGCCAAAGTCATGTGATTCTGAAATTTTCAATGGGGAAAATGGAGCCCGTTTTTGCCCGTTTTCGGTTTCTCGTGCCTAGAGCTCCATGCATTCGAAAACTACGTCGGCCGTTATTTTCCCATTGAACTTTTCAGAAAATCACTTATATAACTTTTGAATAAGGTATCGGATCCGGCTAAAACTTTGACGTCTGGTTGTGACCTCTAGCGCTACCTTTGGGCGGAGAAGGAGCGTTTGGCGATGCCTAGTTTAGTCTTGCGGTAAAAAAAAAAAAAAAATCCTGTAATTTGTTTTTGTGGCAGACTGTACATTGCTTAAACTATATGCAAAAGCTATCCACAGATCCAGAATCTTTGCCTGGCCAGTCATGCAATTATCACTGGATTCGTATTAAAATTAATTATTATAACTTAATGCTGTGAGTGAATTATTAACCTCGGCTTTTTTTTTATTATGACTCCCGCACCAGTCCTGCTTTGGGTTTACCAAACTCAACATCTAAACCTGAGTGTCATTTTTTGTTTTCCAGCCTCGTGGTTTTGGTCAAACTAAACACCCAGCGACCTAAATGAGACACCTGACCGCCCAAAAAATAGTTTATTTGTTTTGATATTTTAGGTAGTTAATTTCTCAAGCTAGAATTTTTGAAACCCATGCCTATCACGTCATCACGTTTTCCTGGAAATCCACGAAGAGCCAAACACATGCACGACAAAAGGGCCGGCCCGTCTCGTTGCCGCCCGCAGAGCCGAGAAAGCAACGCTTGGTCACGGACTTCTAGAAGATTCGCGTTCATTCTTGCACCGGACTTAACTTTCGCCCTGATTTCTTGTTCTCGAAAATGCCAGTTCATCCTCGCCCCGAGCACATGACGCTCGAACTTTCTTTGCCGAACTTTCGAGATAGTGACGCACTGTAGATAAGCAGCTGCCCGCGACATTGTCAAGTCAGTCTCTCTCTCGCTCTCTGTTACGCTGCCGAATCGCCGCCATGTTTCTGCTGCCGGCCTCGACGCTCTTTCTTTACTTTTTTTGTTTGGCACAAGTTCGCCGATAAAACCTTTATTTTTCAGTTCACGTCTCGTCCTCTCGTCTCCTTCATTCGTGACAATATAAATCTGATCACATTGAAATATGCGTAATTGGCCTCTGAAATATCCAATAGCGGCGCACGGGAAATTTTATATTTTTCAACGCGTCTGTGGTTTTGTTATGCATGTGTCTCGTCATTTGGCTCAGGATGGTTTTCGCGTTTTGTTCTGCCCACCTTTGCTGGAGACGTGAGCTTGGAGCGTAGGTAATTGGCCCCCTTGCACGAGAACTGGCGCAGCCGTGCGCGCTCCAAAGAAAGCTCGTGCAGAGAAGAACGAGCCAGGGACCAGGGATGTCAAATTCAGGACATAGAAATAAACCCCACTGTATCGAAGCGCCACTACGCACGATTTCTCGCATTGATGTACAGGCCTGGAAGGCGATCCCACCGCCATCTATTGGTTCAGAATCACACTAACCAAGGGTGGGATTGCACCTTAATGGTAGCAGTGACATTCACTAGGTGGCCTTTTTTTTATGCGGGAAATTTTTACCGAGAGCATAAACGTCAACGAAGCAGGACACGCGCGAATGGTGCTCATTTCTTTTCTGAATGCGCAAGGCGCGCGCATTGGTCCCCTGAGCATTTAAAACACGATAATTTGATGCTGTTCCTCTGTGTGCTCATGAAAGAAAAAAGAGATGCGGCAGGGTAGAACAGCAGGTAATTCAGACCAACAGCTCCTTGATATTCAAGCCGTAATACTGAATTTTTCGGCTTAAAGAAAGCCAACACGGTAACAGATGGGACACTGCGGCTGCGTCAGCGCTTCGGCTGTCTTCGTGTCTTTACTGATTGGACACGAGTCTCAGCCGAACGCTGACTCAGTACTGGTGTCCCATCTGTTACCGTGCTGACCACCGGTAGGTGACGTCACACATGAGGTAGGTGACGTCACACGTCCAGCACTACAGCCTTCTTATCTGAGAAAAGTGGCGGAAATATCAAGCGCACAGACTCTCCAATTCACGGAGGCCGTGGTCAGAGGTGTCCCTCTGGGGAAGGGCAGCTCACCTTCCCCTAGGTAGCCGTAGCCCGTGACGGTGCAGCGGTTCCCGGGGCTCCTGGACGATCCCCTGGCCGGCAGGCAGACGAGGCAGACGACGCTGTTGAGCTGCACGGGCCCCTGGAGCTTGAGGAGCGCAATGTCGTTGTCCAGGCTCTGTCCGTTATGGTTGTGGTGGATGTAGGTGGTGGCCGCGCGCCGGGTCTGCGCCCCGGGGTGACCACGCTCGCTGCCTAGGTCGTGGTCGCCCACGCGCACGAACACGGGCTCGCCGTTGCGCACTAGGCTGCAAGAAAAGCATTTTCAGCTGAATATTTATCTGCCGATTAAACCACCACGTTCGGAATCGTCGCGTCTTTTCGAAGCGTCGCCAAGTAGTTCTTTATCGACACTTTTTTTTTTTTACGCCGATGCGAAGGATGCACAGACACACACACTGGGAGCATCCTGTTGCGTGGCCCATTGCGTGTTGACACGCGACGCGTGCGATCATACGTAGGCGGTGCAGGGGTTTGAGTCAAATCTCCTGCTCTCCCGCCACATTCGAACGCAGGCTTTGGACGACAAAAAATCTGAGCTAGCTTCGGTAAGAACGCAAGTCTGCTTTAAGTAAAGGCGGCGCCATACTCTAAGAAATTTAGCTTCAGCTTCTAGTTGTACTCCTCGCGTGATGGAATTTTAAGCTCTTGTTGCTTCATCAAAAGAATGGTGCGAAAGGAGCGTGCGCCCTCCGAGACGTTTCCCTGGAGAAGTAAAATGCTATAAAAAAAATGGGTTGTGTGTATGTTTATACAGCCTAGAACTTGGCCTACCTCAACGGGCGACGAGTTTCCCAGCCGTAGATGAGCGATTTAGCCAGTGCAGAACGACCGCTAGCTTGGGGTCTTTAACGTGCGTCACGCAGCAGTGATACACGACCGCACGCCGATGCTCATCCAGATCGAAACGGGCAGGCGTGGGGATTGAGCCCAGAATCCTTGGGCTCTACAGCGCGAGCTTTCGCTCCACACGCTTCGAGCTGGTATCCCTTCCCCTCCCCCCCCCCCCCCCCCCCCCTTCCCCCCCGGTGCTACATTCTCTTCGACATAAGGAGGGGTCGAGCAACAGGTTGTACCTCTACAAAGTTACCCGAGACGTCCGGAGTCATTTGGAGACATATGGTGACACTGTCGCCATTCAGGTTTTACAAATTAAGGGCACCTCGGTCATATTTCAAGCATTCGTACTCAGGATTAGTAGGCTGAAAAGTATCATCGTTGAAAAGAACGTGAGATGTATGTTTGCTACTTCGGTAATTTCAAGTAAGAAAGCGAGCAGTGCAATCGACTAGTCAGATCCCATCATAAATTACGTTCTCTTACGGTCGATCAAAAAATTCTACAGGTTGGGGTGCTCAAAAGACCCCATAAAAATGGCAAGTCTATCTATTGCAAACAGTCTCCTGAAAGTGAGTATTACATCAGTGGTATACTTGCCAGCTTTGTCAGTATTTTTTGCGCACTCCACTTTGTAGTATTTCAGATCGACCGTAAAAGGGCGTAATTTTTGAAGGGGCATATACGCTCTTTACCATTTTCAGCGTACCCTTAAATTTTTCTTGGAAACATCGATATATAAAAGTAATACATATTTCTTTTCTCTCTCATTTGAATCAAAGCAAAACGTAGCTCACTATGTCATTTCACATCCGCATGCACCTCACACATAACTTAGAAATTTCTATAAAATTAACTATTCTGTATGCACTATGTATATACATTTCGCTATATTCCACAAACTTCAGTCAAACGAAAAATGTCGTGAAGTAAGGGTTCCAGCAAGAGTGGGTAAAAATACACATGGGTCATCGACACACAGAAAAAAAAGCGTTTCAGCATTTTGTGTCGATTCCGGAGATAACCTCCACAACGTTTTGATCGAAAGGCATAAAATGAAAAGGAAGGAAATTGGATTTTCAGCTTTGTCGCCGCAGACGATCACTGAACGCCAAACAATTATTTGAGAAGCAACGAACGTTAGTCAACAAACGGCGGAACGAAGAAACTCGGACGATGTAGACAAGCTCCGCAAGGTGACTTTATACAGCAACACAATGTTTACAAACATGTCCGCGTTTGCCCACACCAGGTGTGGGCAATGCGCGTGCGCAGAAAACATAATCGCATGAGATGAAGCATCTGCGCATCCGCAGTGCCGACAGCAGCGCCAACGCAGTGGCGTGACGCCAGAGTCCCGAGTGCCTAGTTATTGCTCCGCAGCCAATCAGATTGCCTGCATTAGTTGATAGGAGTGCCGAAGAACCGCTCACGAAGCTAGGAACGTGATGAGCAGAATGAGCCACGCCCTGTTTTGCTTCAGCTGTCACAGTGACTACGCATCTGAGCTTCCATGAGTGCAACTCACCTGGTGACACAATGCGCAGCCGTGAGTACCCATTGAGTTCCGATCAGAGCGCCACCGCACAGGTACTGGTTCTTCGCGTTCACAAGTGCCACCTGTACGGAGCAAAGTAAACAATTCTTCTGTACACTAAAAAAAATTAATAAAGGGGGTGTAGCCCTTACACCCCTTGTCACATTTACGACAAGCCAAAACTTCAGTTTAATGCGATTTCATAAAATGTAAAAGCAGACACTTAAAGACTAATCTACGAGCTTCGAGATATAGCGTTTAGACATTTTTTCTATAATTTTACAGCCAGACGCTCTAGAGCGCACAATGCGCGGCACTGCTACATCGCGAACGCGACATCGGCAATTTTTTGTTTTTCGGATTTCACTTGGAAAGGGTATCGGCAGGTATAACATTTCACCACTTAGGTTGGTGCCCCGAATGTGTACTCTCCATCACTCTGTACTCAGTTTCACGATAGGGAGTTTTAGGGAACCGTTTTTGCACATTCGATATGGTACGCTGGGCCCTCCAGTATGAACTGCGCATGCGCTGCCACAGAAGACTCACCTACGTACTGTACAGTTTGTGCCGGAGGACCCATCGTACCGTATCGGATGTGCAAAGACGGTTCCCTAAAACTCTTTATTCTACTAAGTCCAATCGGAGCCAATGCTACAATTCAACGGGGCCAATCAAGCAGCCCCCAAAAGTGCAACGTCCCGTTGCTCGTCGACATTGTGCGTTTGCTGTCACTAACTAAACCAATCACGCACATAAAAAAAAGCAAGATCAAGCCGCGTTACCTCTACGTGATTGGTTAGCCGGTGACGGTTTACACCTTTGGCGCAATTCGATCGCCGCTATTGGATCGCAGCGCTGGCTGCGGTCGTACTCGTAAACTCTACAACAACAAAAAAAAGTGTTTAGTTTTTTTTTTTTACTTTGGTGAAGCAGGAATACCAGCGAAGCTGTACTATCTGTGGGATTGAAGTAATGGCGGGCCGCCAGCCGGCAAGCCAGAGTGGAAAGGCTGGACAGCTACCGCCATCTATGAGCGACGGCGGTATCCAGACAACCGGCAAGTCGGTTGTCTGATTGCCGTTGTCACTCATAGATGGCGGTAGCTGTCCAGAGTTGGGTGTCATCATTTGTTTGCTGACGGACACGATACTAAGAAAACTAAACCGTAACAACTCCGCTGTAAAAACAAAAATAGCAATTGTTTGTTCGCGTTAACAGTGCCTCACAATGTGTCGAGCCTAATCTATCCACAAGTATGCATCATCGTATAATCTAAGCATTTTTGTAAAGCTAGGCGTTCGCACCTGGGTCACTTTGGTGGCAGTGCACACAACGTGCGAGACGGTCTAAAAACGTGTTTCATGTACCGAAAAAAAAAAGAAAGAAAAAGATTCGAGGAGTGTTTTGTAACGTAACAGAACGGTACGTGGGTACACGGGTACGTGAGAAGTCCCTGAGGAACCGCGGGCGCACGGAAACGAAAGGCGATGCGGTACCTGCCAGCACCATTCTCCGGGCAGTGCGTCCTTGCCGCCGGTGACACGCCCCGCCTGCCTCCTGTCCGGTGCCGCTGCTGCCCGGCCTCCCTTGACTCCGCACGTGGACGGACGAGGCCGCCGGCCCCTCACCGACGGCGAGCCTCCTGCGCCAAAACATACTTTATACATCCGCCTGGAGATGCGCCAAAGACGCCTGGCAACAGAATCACCTTCATGGTCTCTCTGCAATAAAAAAAAAAAGGGGGAGTTTTATACTCGGGGACAACTTTCCGCGGCACTTCGGGGAATCGAGGTAATGCGCGCGAGGGTATCTTTGACTGTGTTGCCTCGGAAAATTATTCCCCGGCTGGGAGATCGTGTGTTCGAGCAACTGTATTTATACATCGAAAGCTCGCGAAGCAAAAGCAAATTGGTGCGTCGACAAAGCCCATTTTTTAACAACGCAACAGCTGCCATTCGCGAATATTTTTCTGGGCGACAATGTTCATGGATTTGTGCATACAATGATTAGGCAATGGCATTAAAAAAAGATTAAATCACAAATGTGGACCAGCCACACTCTGTTCCATCTTACCTAAAATCACCCAGTTAACACCTATGTCACTTTTTTACATAAAAAAAAAATGAAACGGAAATAAAAGGCATCGACAGACAAGAGCATTCCAATGGGAGGTTGCAAGCTGATTCTTTATTCTTTATTAAAGAAATCCTTGCAGCACCTGTCGGGCATTATTGCGGGGGGCGCAATGTATTATAAAACGACTCAGAACTCTCGCGGCACACCACTTGCAGTGGTAATGAATTACACTCTGATGTGGTACGCACAAAAAACAAACAAAAAGAGTTTAAAACGTTCAGCTTTTCTACTCTCGTGAAGAAGGAAGACCAGCAGAGCTGTACTCGATACACTGTGCTTCTTCTTCGTCGTCGTCTGCTTTTCGCGCTGTTTCCTACGATGAATTCCCACCAACGCGCCCAGCTATCCATTCTTCTATTACAGCTCGAAAGTTTGCCGCCATCTAAGAGCGACGACGGAAACCATACTGATTGTGTGCTTGCCGCCGTCGCTTATAGGTGGCAGTAGCTGTCCAGGTAGGTTTGTGTCGACATACACGGACACGACCCTGGGGGACCTAGCCCCTTAACAGCTCCACTGTAAATATTTGTCCTCGTGGCATACGTTCGAACTTTTCAAGAGTTATCTGCTCCTGGATAGTGACACTTTGACGATTGTAAGTATGGTGAAGCAGAAATTTATGTCCGTTTGTAATAAATAGAATAAAAGAGAAAATAAAAAAAGTCGTTTACAAATCTCTGTATTCGCGACTCCAGCGACCTATAGGGGACGCCACCACCAAACAAACATGGTGGCTGGGTCCAGGTCGCGCTGGCTCGGCCGGGCTATGGTGCCTGGAACGCGTCTCCGACTGGTGCGTTTACCGCGGCCAAAAAAGTGGTCCCTCGATTTCCGCCTGATGACGTCATAAAAGTGTCATGCTGTCGCCGGTCGCGACCCTGGCGGCGTCCCAACAGCTGTGGTGTATGTGGCAAATGCCTGTTCTGCTGCAGGTCGCTTTCTACTGTGACAGTTCACGGAAGCCAGAGCAGCCGGAGTTGGGACGCCTAAAGGGACGCAATGACGACAGCGACACTCGCGTTCGCTCGTGCTTTTCGCCAGCATTTCTAAGGCCAACCGCCAGGATCGCGACAGGCAACAGCATGACACTCGCGTCATTTGTTGCCACATCGGGACCACTTTTGATGTATGGGCGGGATAGGACGCTAAACACACCAGTCAAAGACGCGATCCAGGCACCATAGCCGGGCCGCCTGGACGGGTGGCGCCTTCGTTTTAGCACATTTTCTTTTGTTTAATGCCCAATTTTATAGGTATTTGAACTAAGACGGTTAAGTGTAGCCGGTGCACATAAACTTGCACAGCATAGTTTTGTTTTCCCTGTGTTGTTTATTTTAATTTTTTTTTTTTTTTGTTCTTTTCATGTCAAACTTTTGTTTCGGAGATTTCGTTCAAACCCGAAACTATGGGCTCCAGAGGGACGGTAATAGACTCTAATCAGTTTCGATCATCCAAAGAAAGCGGCGATGACTACAGAATTGTTCCACCGATAGTAATTTTCAGCTAACTCGCATGCCTCGACCATGCGACTTATCTATCCGCGAAATCGAGCTTTTGTGCGTATCCGCGTTTAAGAAACAGCTCCAGTCGTCTGCTCGGTCAACAACATACGCTGCAGGAAAATTACGAAAATTAAGCAAGCGCCTCTTTTGAACCAGGGAGCATATTAACCCGCGGGCGCCCCACTAGGCAGCTGATACTCGTATTTCAATTCAGGTTTTAGTAGCAATCGAGAAGTAATTTTGACGAGTGGCTTATGTATTATATTGCGTCCTATATATGTCCAACTAAAGCGATATTAGTATATTCTTCGGCTTAAAATATGAGCTTAGTTGACCAGCTATTAGGTGGACTTCTGAATAAAAGTATATTTGACAGACAGAGAGATGCTACTTAAACTCGGCCAAATGGTTCTAGCTGGTAGCACGGAGACGAATGCGGACAAACTGAAGAGAGTCTTCATCGAACATTCACGCAGAACCTCTCTGTACTGAACTTTCCTTCAAATCCTGAACGGAGAAAATGAGCATTTTTTTTGTGGCCGGTCAACCTGAGCAATGTAGACGTATACTGCCACTGGCTTCGACGAGGGTATAATATAAATATTGGAGGCGCGATAGGTCATAATGCCGTGCTAGCTTTTAACTTTGCGAGACTCGTCCCCCACCTTTCGAAAGCAGATAATTTCCCTCATTAATCGTATGCAGCGAGCAGGTTTTTCTGAATCAAGTAACTGCGAAATCAGCCCAACTCCTTCAGTGTGGTCCAAAGGCTTTTTCGGCGAAAAGCATCCAAGATGAATAGCCTGCACCGACCGGCGTGGGTGGCTCAAACTTGAAGCTAATCGAACACAACCAAACTCAAGAAAAGCAGCTATCGAACTTTCCTATTCACTTGACTGCAACATTGGTGTTCCCTCCAGTGAAACACCTCGTTCGCCGTCCTCAGTCCACTGTTCTACATCCTTATAAAGAAGCCACTTCTCACTTACCAAGTTGTCGTCACTTTGAAAGTGATTCGAGACAGACAAGAAATCAAAACGTTTTTCCGTGCTTCCTCCCCTTCCAAGAAATCAAAAGCACGCGACCGTGTGTTGTGGAGTGAACGGGCTTTCAAACACGGGATGGAAAGGAACAATCTACTGAGGCTTCACCACACTAATGAACACTCAGGCAAACTTCAGAAATTTTCGGACCTTCGTCAAATTACATTGTTCGTCACCGCGCCGACAACACGTGTCCGCAAAAGCCACCAGAGACGCGGAGGGGCGCGAAGGGGCGCGGAGCGACCTGGTCCGGCTGGTTCCCGGTTTTCCCGCTTGGTGGCGTCTGTTTTGTTGGAGTCGCGAATAGCGAAATTAGAGCGCAACTCTTGAGGTATTTTGAATTTGCGATATAACGTGCTAAAAATTTAAGAAAAACTATATGTACAAATATAAACCTCGTACTCCTGCGTACATAGTATAAATTATAATACATAAATAAATTGATCGTTTCTTATAGTATTATTTATATAAGGAGGAGGAGGGGAGGGTCCTCCGTACCTTTCCCTCTCCCCCCTCCTTCCCTCCTCCCACAGTTCCCTGCTAAATTTAGCTGGAAAACTGACGTACGCCACGCGACCTCAACATCAATTCAGTTTCCTCGCTAAATTTAGCGAAGGAAATGACGTCACATGCCTTCGTGTCCCCTCACTTATGAACAAAGTCAGTTTCTCCACTATATTTATTGTTAAAACTGACGTCACATGACCTCAACTCCAATTAAATTCTCCGCTAAAATTTAGCGGGAAACTGAATTGGTGTTGAGGTCATGTGACGTCAGTTTTACCACTAAATTTAGCGGGGAAACTGAACGCGCAGTGTTGTATTATGGGGCGCCACAGATTTACACACCAATTCAGTTTCTTCGCTAAATTTAGCGGGGAATTAAATTGGTCAATAGGTCTGTGACGTCCCATAATGCAACGCGAGCGGTTACGCCGCCGGCGATGCCGACGCCGCGAAACACGAGAAAGAGCGCCTATAGGAGCTACGCTCTAAAAAATATTGGGCCAAAAACGTCTACGGCGCTACTCAAAACAAAAACAAAAAAAGCTTAGCTTTTGCTTTATTTTTGCTGTATCTTACCTCCTCAGGGCAAACCGACAACCAGAGATTGAATGCGCTGAAGTGCATTTACATAAATATGGTAAACCTGATCCCAAACCAAGCACTCATAATATAGATTTGGCCGAACATTTGCTTAGTGTTCCGTGTTTTTGGTAAATACCGACAAACCCCGATAAGTAACCCCCAAAATGGTTTTATTGAAATCAGGGAAAACTGAAAAACCACAAATTAAAACTACCCTTGAAAAAAAAAAAAAAGAAATCCCCGGGTGTGGAAAAAAAATATGAAAGACAAATCTCTCTAATGCGAAACTAAAAATATGAAAAGCAGATCTCTGTAATGCGAAACAAGAGCGCAGCTCTTGAGGAAGAGGAGGCGAGGGTACGGATGGGATGGTATGCTTCTCTTCCTCCTCCGTACCCTTCCCTCCTCCTCTTCCCCCTCCCCTCCAACTCCTCCTCTCCTCTTCTTCTCTTCCTTCTAACGCAGAAACGGGTGCCTAAGAGCTTTGCTCTAAAACATTCATACGCAGTATTTTCTTTTTGTCATTCTGAACATAATTTGTACTAACTGGCGTTGAGGTTGCTTCTTTCATTGGGACCTGCGTCCCTTGCCCTGTCTCCTTCTGTTTTCGGTGCCGGGATGACGTTTTTCAAGTATTTGACTAACGGGCGTAAGTTCCACGTACCCCGGAAGAAAATAGGAAACCGGGGGAGGGGGTCATTTGGGCTCGCATGGTTATATATATGCAGCAGTTTTATAACCTTATCCACGATTTCTTTGCTGGAAGTGAAAATAAACACCGAAAACATTATTAAACCTAGAAACCGCACGCCCGAATTTGAAGAAAATAAATTTCAAGAAACACGAAACCCTACGGTAGGCTTGACACGCAGCTTGTTTAATCTCGCTAGTGACAGG